CCCGATTTGCCTAATAAGCCAAGTTTTCATGAATTAATTGTTTTTCGACTACCTAACCTAACTTTTTCGGCTACCTATATATATATATATATATATATATATATATATATATATATATATATATATATATATATATATATATATATATATATATATATATATATATATATATATATATATATATATATATATATATATATATATATGTCGTACCTAGTAGCCAGAACGCACTTCTTAGCCTACTATGCAAGGCCCGATTTGCTTAATAAGCCAAGTTTTCCTGAATTAATATATTTTCTCTAATTTTTTTCTTATGAAATGATAAAGTTACCCATTTCATTATGTATGAGGTCAATTTTTTTTTATTGGAGTTAAAATTAACGTAGATATATGACCGAACCTAACCAACCCTACCTAACCTAACCTAACCTCTCTTTATAGGTTAGGTTAGGTTAGGTAGCCGAAAAAGTTAGGTTAGGTTAGGTAGGTTAGGTAGTCGAAAAACAATTAATTCATGAAAACTTGGCTTATTAGGCAAATTGGGCCTTGCATAGTAGGCTGAGAAGTGCATTCTGGCTACTAGGTACGACATATATATATATATATATATATATATATATATATATATATATATATATATATATATATATATATATATATATATATATATATATATATATATATATATATATATATATATATATATATATATATATATATATATATATATATATATATATATATATATATATATATATATATATATATATATATATATATATATATATGTCGTACCTAGTAGCCAGAATGCACTTCTCTGCCTACTATGCAAGGCCCGATTTGCCTAATAAGCCAAGTTTTCATGAAATAATTGTTTTTCGACTACCTAACCTACCTAACCTAACCTAACCTAACTTTTTCAACTACTGAACCTAACCTAGCCTATAAAGATAGGTTAGGTAGGGTTGGTTAGGTTCGGTCATATATCTACGTTAATTTTAACTTAAAATAAAAAAAATTGACCTCATACATAATGAAATGGGCAGCTTTATCATTTCATAAGAAAAAAAATAGAGAAAATACATTAATTCATGAAAACTTGGCTTATTTGGCAAATCGGGCCTTGCATAGTAGGCAGAGAAGTGCGTTCTGGCTACTAGGTACGACATATATATATATATATATATATATATATATATATATATATATATATATATATATATATATATATATATATATATATATATATATATATATATATATATATATATATATATATATATATATATATATATATATATATATATATATGTCGTACCTAGTAGCCAGAACGCGCTTCTCAGCCTACTATGCAAGGCCCGATTTGTCTAATAAGCCAAGTTTTCATGAATTAATTGTTTTTCGACTACCTAACCTACCTAACCTAACCTAACTTTTTCGGCTACCTAACCTAACCTAATCTATAGAGATAGGTTAGGTTAGCCTAGGTAGGGTTGGTTAGGTTCGGTCATATAACTACGTTAATTTTAACTCCAATAAAAAAAATTGACCTCATACATAATGAAATGGGTAGCTTTATCATTTCATAAGAAAAAAATTAGAGAAAATATATTATTTCATGAAAACTTGGCTTATTAGGCAAATCGGGCCTTGCAAAGTAGGCTGAGAAGTGCGTTCTGGCTACCAGGTACGACATATACATATATACATATATATATATATATCCACCACAGCTGGATGCCCAGCTGAAAGAGAGCCCCGTTACCTAACGCCCCGTAACTCTGATGCTTTTATTGGTCGCCCGGATGGTATCACAGTGAACCCCTGGAAGAATGGCAAGCAGTTGGTATGGGACTACACGTGCGTATCAACCCTGGCTAACACCTACATTAACCTCAGTGTTGCACAACCAGGTGGCGCTGCCACCCACAGGGAAGCAGCCAAATCCCGTAAGTATAGAGAACTTGATCACCACTACAATTTTGTCCTCATTGCTTCTGAGACACTCGGCGCCTGGGTTAAAAGTGCTACCAGTTTTTTGAAGGAACTGGGTTCTAGGCTCATTGAAACGACAAGGGACCCAAGAGCTGCAAGCTTTCTTTTCCAGCGCCTCAGTGTGGCGATACAGAGGGGAAATGCGCACAGCATCCAGGGTTCCTGCCCGCCATCTGAGGAGCTGGAGGAACTTGACAACCTATGATAACCATCTTTGTAACCCACATGTAACTCCTTTTTTGTAACAAAGTTCAAATAAAGTAAATATACATGTGTACATAGAAAAGAATGGGGGTGGTGGAGAAGATAATATTAGTGTTCAGTGAGAAACCACAAGGTCTCCTCTGAATACTTTTTATTTTCTTCTCCGAGGCTATGGGTCCCCACATTGGCACCAGAGGTAGTACCCTCACAAACTTTATATATATATATATATATATATATATATATATATATATATATATATATATATATATATATATATATATATATATATATATATATATATATATACCTATATATACTATATTTGCCTAATATATATATATATATATATATATATATATATATATATATATATATATATATATATAAAACTGAAAACTCACACCCCAGAAGTGACTCGAACCCATACTTCCAGGAGCAACGCAAGTGGTATGTACAGGACGCCTTAATCCACTTGACCATCACGGCCGGACATAAGGAAGTGATAGCCGAAGCTATTTGAACCACTTCTTCGCCGGCAATCGGATAGTAATCTTGGGCATAGCATTTTATCATATCACCTCATTCTTGGTGATTTGATTGGTCGAGCGGTTAAGGGATCCTGTACGCCAGCAGAGTGCTCCTGGCAGTATAGGTTCGAGTCACTTCTGGGGTGTGAGTTTTCAGTTGCATGTAGTTCTGGGGACCATTCAGGCCTGTTCGCATTTGTGTTCCTCACGAGTGCCTCAAAGAATGAAGTGATTTGATAAAATACCATGCCCAAGGTTACCAACCAAGTGCCGGCAGGGGGATAGAAATAGCCTGGGCTACCATCCTCTTTTGTCCGGTCGTGTTGGTTGAGCGGTTAAGGGATCCTGTACGCCAGCAGAGTACTCCTGGCAGTATGGGTTCGAGTCACTTCTGCTGTGTGAGTTTTCAGTTGCATATAGTCCTATGGACCATTCAGGCTTGTTCGCATTTGTTTTCCTCACATGTGCCCCAAAGAATGTGATGATTTGATAAAATACCTTGCCCAAGATTACCAACCGAGTGCCGCCGACTGTGTAGTAGCTTTGGTTTGGTCTTGACTTTATTAGCTATATTATTTTCATACATTTTCTCAGCGGCTCTTCTTACACTAACATACTCGTTCCTGGTTCTCTGGTATCTCTCTCTACTTTCAGGTGTTCTCTTATTTCGGAAGTTCCTCCACGCCCTTTTTTCTTTTATACATTCCTGATTAAACTACGGATTCTTCTTTTGCTTCTCGGTTTTTTCCTGTCGGGCCGGGATAAACCTGCTTACTGCCTCCTGACACTTTTGGGTGACATTGTCCATCATGTCTTGTACGGACTTAGTTTTTGAGTTCTGTATCCCATGGTATATCCCTTAGGAATTTATTCATCTCCTCATAGTTTCCCTTTTGGTATGCCAGCCCTTTGTTTTCCAGTTCTTTTTGGGGGGAGATAATTCCTAGCTCAACCAGGTACTCAAAGTTCAATACAATATGATCACTCATTCCCAAGGGGGCGTCCAACTTAACTTCCCTTACAACCGACTCATTTAGGGTAAATATCAGATCAAGCAAAGCTGGTTCGTCGTCTCCTCTCATTCTTGTCGGTCCCTTGACGTTTGACTTAGAAAGTTTCTTGTTGCCACATCCAGCAGCTTAGCTCTCCATGTGTCTCGTCCTCCATGTGGGTCTCTGTTTTCCCAATCTATCTTCCCGTGGTTGAAGTCTCCTATGGTTAGTAGTCTAGATCCGTTCCTGCTAGCTACAGAAGATGCTCTCTCTATTATATTGATGTTGGCCATATTGTTTCTATCATATTCTTGTCTGGGTCTTCTGTTATTTGGCGGGGGTTATATATGACTACTACAATAATTTTCTGTCCTTCAGTTGCTATGGTACCTGATATGTAGTCACTGAAACCCTCACAGCCCTGATTAACCATTAAAACTCCAACTGTATGGAGGCACCCGGGTATGTCCAGTGTATGGAGTCACCTAAGTATGTCCTGTGTATGGAGGCACCTGGGTATGTCCTGTGTATGGAGGCACCCGGGTATGTCCAGTGTATGGAGGCACCCGGATATGTGCAGTGTATGGAGGCACCCGGGTATGTCCAGGGTATGAAGGCACCCGGGCATGACCCGAGTAATGAGGCACCCGGGTATATCCACTGTATAGAGGCACCCGGGTATGTCCAGTGTATGAAGGCACCCGGGTATGTCCAGTGTATGGGGGCACCCGGGAATGTCCACTGTATAGAGGCACCCGGGTATGTCCAGTGTATAGAGGCACCCGGGTATGTCCACTGTATAGAGGCACCCGGGCATGTCCCGAGTAATGAGGCACCCGGGCATGTCCCGAGTAATGAGGCACCCGGGTATATCCACTGTATAGAGGCACCCGGGTATGTCCAGTGTATGGAGGCCCCCAAGACAGGAGGAGAGGCATGAGGTGCGGAAGAGGTTTGTGTTGATTCTAGGTATAATGGACCAGTCTTGCCTTTTGTCTTTATATAGAACTTAATTCATCTCCGGCCGGAGTCCTGCTTGGCTGCTCTAACTCCTTGCCTTACCTCAGTTGGCTCTCTCAAGTATTCACTTGGTCGTCTCTTGCTCTCACCATTTCAAGGTGTTGGTGATGCTCATATATTTCCAATTCATAATGAAACGGAATGACTTGGTACAAATGTTTAATTATATATTTCTTTTGGTTTGGAATTTATGACTAAATATTCTTATCCGTATACAGCTTAGTAGATTAGTCAACGGTTAATGTTGGAAGGAAACACATTGACATTTTGTGATTTAATTAATTTTAATTACAAGCTTAACTTTAGTGCACGTGTTAGACATTGACTGCTTGCATTCTCTCTTATAGTCTAGGATTAATATTGAACCTGAATTTGAGGTCATAATTGTTTATGTTCTGTTTATTGTGGTTGAGACATGAGACCGCTGGTAAGACCATTATTCTAACTTATAAAGACCTGTGCACTGTTTTATGTATAATTATATTATATTATAATTCAAATAAACTTTTTTTTAATATTATGGCCCGGGTGTACCTATATATTGATTATATATTTGAGAGCCTTCTACTGCACTTATGTAAAGGTTTATTTTGATAAAAAGGCCCACAATATCATCTGTCCTCACAGCCACATTAACAAGTGCTGGACACGCAGGTTATGTTTAAGCTACTGTGAAATAAGTCATTTATCACTGGTGCAAGATCGAATTAGTCATCCCGAAGTCTGTAAATACAAACCGAGCTTACTTATTGGGATTCTAACTTGTATAAGACTTTATACAATAAACTTTTCTGATAGGTTAAACGTTATGGCACAGCGTTGAAGGACCCCACCAAGTTCAGGCGACGACCAGGACTATCAGAGTAAATCATGTTGCTGATAACTATGTTATACTCTGGTCTGTTCCTTAGCTGAGAATCCCCGTCAGGCAGGAGCAGCAACACCTGCAAGGTAGAGGAGATACTTAGCCAGAGATTGAGATCTTGAAGATCACTTTGCCGTATTGTCAAGAGTGGCAGCAGGAGAAAGCCAAGTGAGCTTGTGACTAACATGCACTGACAAACGTTGGCCTCGCATATATTTAAGAAAGATCACGTTAATAAAGTTCAATATAAAACAAGAACGTTTATAGTATTCTTGATACACCCTAAGTAAACAAGCACAGTACCCTACATGGTATTCTTGCCACGCCACCCCATAAGTAACCAAGCACAGTACCCTACATGGTATTCTTGCCACGCCATAAGTAACCAAGCACAGTACCCTACATGGTATTCTTGCCACGCCATAAGTAACCAAGCACAGTACCCTACATGGTATTCTTGCCACGCCATAAGTATCCAAGCACAGTACCCTTCATGGTATTCTTGCCACCCCATAAGTAACCAAGCACAGTACCCTACATGGTATTCTTGCAACGCCGTAAGTAACCAAGCACAGTACCCTGGATAACAAAGGAGCTGAAGAACCTTTTAGGTAGAAAGAGAGCTTGGTACAAAATGATTAGGTATGAGGAAGTCAGTTTAGAACAAGAATTCGTAAAACTGGTTAGAAATGTTAAAAAAGAGATAAGGAGGGCAAAAAGAAACTATGAAGTTCGCAAAGCAGGGCAAGCAAAGACAAATCCTAATGGATTTTTTCAGTTGTATTGAACTAAGAGTAGAAAAAAGGATTAGACCATTAAAAATTTAGAAAGGTCAGATAACTTTGTAATGACGAAGAGATGTGTAGTATTTTTAATAAATATTTTATATCAGTAATTTACTAAAGAAGAACAGAACATTATGCCTTCAGCCGAACAAGTCTATGTGGGTGGGGACGAGGACAGGTTGACTAGTTTAGCAGTTATCAATGAGGATGTTATTAAACAAATAGTGAAACTCAAACCAAAGAAATTCCCAGGGCAAGACGAAGTGGTTGCCAGGATGCTTAAAGAATGCAAAGAAGAGCTTTGCGAGCCATTTACTACCATATTTAATAAATTATTAGAGTCAGGAAGAGTGTCAGAGTCGTTGAAAGTTGCTAGTGTGGTACCAATTTTCAGGAAAGGAGATAGATCACTTGCGTAAAACTATCGGCCTAACGTCTAACTTGTGGGAAAGGAGCTGATAACGTTTATTGTAGGAAAGTTACTTTAATCGATAATTGCAAATACCATTCGCCTTCATCTTGAAAAGCATAAATTAATAAATGATACACAACATGGTTTTTACAAATGGCCGTTCATGTTCAACAAACTTGCTATCCTTTTATTCAAGCATAGTTGAGGCAGTTGATTGTGGTAAGGCTTGTGATGTTGTGTACCTTGACTTAAGCAAAGCTTTTGATATAGTGCCACATGAATGATTGATTAAAAGGATAGAGGCTCATGACATTGAGGGTACTACAAAGGGCATGGCTATACCAAAGGAAACAAAGAGTTAGTATAAATGTGGTTAAGTCAGAGTGGGAAAATGTTGTAAGTGGAGTGCCTCAAGGCTCTGTCCTGGGACCTCTGTCAATCATAATATATATAAATGATTTAGATTCAGATTTAAGCAGCAATATTTGTAAATTTGCCAATGATATAAAAATCGGGAGGGTAATAAACATGGAAAAAACTCACTATCACTTCAAGAAGATCTAAATAAGGTTTTGAAATGGTCAAAATTTTGGCAGATGCAATTTAATGCTGACAAATGTAAGGTTTTGAGGCTAGGGAATGATGATAGAGTTACAAGATACGAGCTAGATGGTGTTGAGATTGCGAAGTCGGATTGCAAAAGGGATCTGGGAGTTATGATCACTAAGAATTTAAAAAAAATCAATGCATAAAATTTCGTAATAATGCAAATAGTACACTAGAATTTATTAATAGAAGCATTAGTAATAAGACACCTGGTGTTGTTTTTCAGCTATATCTGCTTTGGTTAGGCCCCATTTAGATTATGTAGTTCAGTTTTGGTCGCCGTACTATAGAATGGATATAAATTTACTTGAACACGTCCAGCACAGGATGACAAAGTCAATCCAGCAAATTAGAAACCTGTCATGAAGAAAGATTGACAATGCTTAAATTACTTTCGTTGGAAAGACGAAGAGTTAGGGGTGATATGATTGAGGTTTACAAGTGAATGAATGGCAATAACAAAGGGGATATTAATAGCGTTAAAACTAGCAACACAAGACAAAACACGAAACAATGAGTATAAATTGGATAAGTTTAGATTTAGGAAAGACCTGGGTAAATACTGGTTTGGTAACTTTTTTTTTTTTTTTGGCCGGGATATTCCTGGGCAGGCCCTAAGCCTCTGGCTGGCCCACTAAAACTGGGTTGTTGATTTGTGGAACCAATTACCGGGTAACATGGTAGAGATGGGGTCCCTCGATTATTTCAAGCGTAGATTGGACATGTATATGAGTGGGATTGGGTGGTTACAAATAGAAGCTGCCCCGTATGGACCAATAGGCCTTCCGCAATTACCTCTTATTCTTATGTTCTTAAGTGAGGTTCACTGATTGTTTCAAGCGTAGGTTGGATAAATATATTTGAATGAGATTTAGTAGATATGAATAGGAGCTGCCTCGTATGGGCCAACAGGCCTTCTGCACTTACCTTCATTCTTATGTTCTGATGTTCCATGTATGAGTCGTCTGCGACAGAACATAAGAATAAAGGTAAAAGCAGAAGGCCTATTGGCCCATACGAGTCAGCTCCTATTTATATCTACCCAATCCCACTCATATACATGTCCAACCCACGCTTGAAACAATTAAGGGACCCCGCCTTCACCACGTTACGCGGTAACTGTTCCACAAATCAACAACTCTGTTACCGAACCTTGATACACTCCATTTACAACATTTTCCCACTCTGACTTAACCCCATTTTAACTAACTCTCTGTTTCCTTTGGGGTAGCCATGCCCTAATCCAACTTAATATAGCACCCCCCAATACCATGAGCCTCTATCTTTTTAATCAGTCTTTCATGTTGCACTGTATCAGAAGCTTTGCAAAAGTCAAGGTACACAACGTCACAATCCTTACCACAATCAAGTGCCTCAACTATGCTGGGATAAAATGATAGCAAATTTGTTAAACATGAACGGCCACTTGTAAAACCCATGTTGTGAATCATTTATTAATTTATATTTTTCAAGATAAAGACGAATGGTATTTTCAGTTATCGATTCAAGTAACTTTCCCACAATTGACGTTAGGCTAATTGGCCGATAGTTTGACGCAAGTGATCTATTTCCTTTCTTGAAAATTGGAACCACATTAGCAACCTTCCATGACTCTGGCACTGGGCTTGACCCTAATAATTTATTAAATATAGTAGACAAAGGCTCGCAAAGCTCCTCTTTGCATTCCTTAAGCACCCTGGCAAACACTTCGTCTGGCCCTGGGGATTTGTTTGGCTTGAATTTCACTATTTGTTTAATAACATCCTCCCTGGTAACTGGTCAACTAGTCAACCTTTCCTCTTCCCCACCCACATAGACTTGTTCGGCTGAAGACATAATGTTCTGGTCTTCTTTAGTAAATACAGAGATAAAATATTTATTAAAAATATTACAAATCTCTTCGTCATTATCTGTTATCTGACCTGTCTCAGTTTTTAATGGACCTATCCTTTCTCTAATCTTTGTTAAATATAAATGGGGAAAACCCTTTAGGATTTTTCTTTTCTTGCATTGCTCTGCGAACTTCATAGTTTCTTTTGCCCTCCTTATCTCTTTTTTTAACATTTCTAACCAGTTGAACGAAATCCTGTTCTAAACTGATTTCCTCATTCCTAATCCTTTTGTACCACGCTCTCTTTCTACCTTTAAGGTTCATCATATCCTTTTTTATCCATTTTGGGTCATTATTATTCGATCTATTCAATTTGCATGGTATACTACCTTCCTTTGCTTTGCTTAGAATATTTTTAAATAAGTTCTATTTTCAATTATCATCGAAATCCCTTTTTACATCACCCATCTCTGGATTCACGTCTCACTCCAAGACAAGCCCACCCCCCATGCTCAAGACTTTCCAATCTATTTCACCAAAAAAATCTTAGACCATTAAAATCAGCTTTTCGAAAATCTGCTACTTTAACAGAATTTTCTCCTACAAATCTATTCCATTTTATGTAAAATCTTATTTCTTTGTGATCACTGTTCCCTAGCTCACTCCATATTTCGATTTCATTAATTTGTTTCCCAATTGTTAGCACTAAGTATAAAATATTATTTTCCCACGTTGGTTCCTTAATGTGTTGCTTAATCTTCAATTAATTCTAGAAATTCTCCTACTTCATTATTCCCTTGTTCTGTTCATTCAATTTATTCCACTAAAATTAAAGTCACCCATGACACAATTACTCTTAGACCTAGATGCTCTAGATATTTCATCCTATAGGTGCTTTGTTTCCATTATGTCCAAGTTTGGTGGTTTGTATATAACTCCATTTATAAAATTTCTAGTTGTTTCGTTAAATTCTACCCAGATAGTTCCTGTGTGTGGCTCAGTTTTGATTCCCTCTTTGGGACTACATTTCAAAATTTCCCTAATATATATGGCTATGCCCCTCTTCTTCTAATATATCTATTTGCGTGAAATAATTTAAATCCGTTTATTTGATATTCAACTAATATTTCTCCATTTTCTACTTTCATCCATATATCAGTAAGTGCAATATTGCTTTTTTTTCTGTGCAGACAAGAGCGTTTAAATCGTTTAATTTGTTTCTTAGACTCCTACTGTTCTTGTAATATATCTTAATTGTACTGTTATTTAGAGGCTCTTCTCTTTCCCTGTTTATTTTGCCAATTTGTTTCCCCCACAAACACATACTTTTATTACTTCCCTTCTCCATATCCATTCCCATACCACTGTCTACTATCAGTTTAAACCCAAACAAATCCCTCCAACCACAGGTTCCAACGAGTTGGCAACAGCAACAACCTCAGCCC